TGGTAGTTTGCAATGATTCTCAACTGACTGACCAGTCACTAAACCCAGCTCCCCTACAGTTAACTTGGTCTAGAAAGCCTGCAGAGATCATCCTACTACAGAGAAGTGCTCATTCATAGTAAGACGGATCTGACAACTTTTCTCCTCAATATTGTGACTCCAAAAGACATGACTGGTGATACTTTACGCGCACGCACACACACACTCATATAGATATACAGTATGGGGGTGTCAATTTTCCTTTCCAGCAATACTGGCAATAAAAAAACCAACAGAGAGCAAAATGACCACTAAACTCAGATACCAAAAAACCAACAACAAACCAAACCCTTTGCTGTTAAGCAGATTCCGAGTCATAGCGACCCTACAGGAGAGAGCAGAACTGTCCCACAGGGTTTCAAAGTCTGTCATCTTTACAGAAGCAGATTGCCAGGTCTTTCTCCCATGGAACAGCCAGTGGGTTCGAACTGCTGATCTTTTGGTTAGCAGCTTAGCGCTTAACCACTGTGCCACCAGGGCTTCCAAACTCTGATACCAGAGGATGCATTTCTGAGCTCTCAGGGTCATGTGAAAGAATCTTTTTTTTTCCTCCATCCTTACTAGATTTCCTAATAAAACAGACACGGGATGACTTAATATTAGTATCCTGCCCACTGATAATTTCATATTCTATTGAACTTTAAGCATCAGAACCCAATAGCTGACATAATTTTTTTCTGACAATATGACATTAAAACTCTCACCTAGCGTGGTAGTTTAAAATCTGTCCGCCAATTCTTTAGCATGCCTCCCTTCAAAAGGTAGAGCCCAATTCCTCCCTCTCACCTCGAGTGTGGGCTGGGCTTACTGAATTGCTTGTAATAAATGGAAGAGAGTGGAAATGACAGTATGTGACTTCTGAACCTAGGTCATAAAAAGCATTGTGACCTCATCCTCCCTCTCTGATCACTGTGCTGAGTCGTGGGGACGCTAAGGCAGCCCTGTGGAGAGGTCTACACGGTGAAGAACGGAGCCCTCCAGCCCCAGCCAGCCTTCCCGAGGAAGCTTCCAAAGACCGCAGTCCTCAAGAGAGGCCCTGAGCCAGAACCACCCAGCTACGCCACTCCCAATTCCAGACTCCCAGGAGCTGTGGGGCACAATAAATGTTTGCTGCTTTACGTAGCCAACTGTTGGGGTAATGTGTTTAACGGCAGCAGATAATGAATACACCTGGAAGTTTTCTGAACTGGGAAGATGAGAGGAAAAGCTCTGCCCGATCTCTGAAGAAAACCCACTATGGTTGGACTGCAGTCTAACAGGCTCCACTCCGATGAACAGAAACAGGGATGGCATCATCACTGATCCCTCATGGTTCTCCAACATTCGGAGGCATAAGAGGCACTCCTGAAACACCGTCCCTAAACCTTAGCTACCCCTGAGCTTGACAACAAGTCTGGTGAGCTCAGGGGGCTCGGGAAGGCTTAGACGGAAAGCAAACCCTCTTAAGCAGCACTCTAAGCACTATCCCAAATGCCTAGGATCCCATTCTCTCCTCACAATTCATACTAACAGAGAGTGACTGAAGCCAGTCTTGTTTGGTCAAACAGGCACCTCATTCCCAGTGGGAAAAAGAAGGGCTCAGAAGCCATAAATAGACATACCCTTCCCCACTCCAGCCCCAGCCAGGTCTGTAGAAGTTGTACCTCCAGCATTAACTAAGTTCAGGACTGTATCACACACTTGTTTCAAAAATGTAATACATCCCACTTCTTCCTACCCCTAGAAAGATTTGTCAGTGTTACCAACATTCCTAAGGAGTGCTTTTCAAAAGCTTTAAGTATCAGTAATGTATCATTTATAAAGTTATTGGAGTTGTGTATTTTATTCTCAATTTTTCTCTCCACCCCTCCCAGCCCACCTGCAAGATCAAAAGTAACTTATAAGCAAATCCTTACCTGCAGCGATCTCCGTAGATACAGTACCCTCGCTGAAAATACTTGCACACGACACCGTATGGACTGTCGGAGAGGTCATGTGAGTAGCGACAGTTATCTCCTTCCTTACACACCCCATGCATAAAATACCTGCCAGACAAAGGGCAACACAATCAGATTAACAAGATGCAAAGGCAGTCCTCAGAGAATGCACGACTGGCATATTCCACTCGTGAACACACAACACAAGCACACAGTGTCTCCAGGCCCCGCGGCCACACACCGATCTGCCGCCACCCTACAGAAAAGGTCTGCCTGGAGACACAGGCACCCAAGTGGACATCAGTGTCACGC